GGAGGAGGGGGAAGGGGAAGAAGGGGAGGATGAAGAAGAAGAGAAAGAACAGAAGAAAGTAAAATATGAGAAAGCCTTAGAACATTTCTTGGAAAGAAATTTCTTTTTGTTTTTCCATACCAGGGAGCAAACTCAGGACCTTGCACTTGCCAGGCAGGTGCAGCGTCACTGAGCCAAATCCCCTGGAAAGGAAATTCTTATAAGATGGATATGTCTTTTTTCAAAGGCTAAAAGCCAGGCATGGTTGTACACATCTGTGATCCCAGCACTGAAGAAGCTAAGGCAGGAGGATTGCCACAAATTAGCACCGCCCCCCCCCGCCATTTTTTTTGTAGCAGGGATAGAACTTGGGACCTTGTGCTTGCAAGGCAGGTGGTGACACTACTTAACTAAATCCCCAGCCCCAGTTGCCACAAGTTCAAAGGCTATCCTGAACTATATAGTGAAACCCTGTCTCAAAAAAAAACCAAAAACTGTCCAGCGGGGTGTGGTGGCACACACCTGTAATTGCAGCACTGGGGAGACTCAGGCAGGAGGATCACTGGGAGTTCGAGACCAGCCTGGGCTACTTAGTGAGCTCCAGATCAGTCTCAACTACATAGTGAGATCCTGTCTCAAAACAACAACAACAAAAAACTGTCTTTGTTAATGCATAACAACATGAAGAGTTCACTAAAGACCAAAACTCTTATTCCTATCATGTTTGTACGTGTGGTGCTTCAGTTTAAGGTGACTGTAATTGGAGTCATCAGACAGAGATGCCTCCAGGAGCAGCAGCTGACCTCACACAACAGGCTCCACACACAGGTTATAATGCTGGGACACAGTCAGCTTCTGCTAAATGCATGCATACATGTGTTCAAGCTAGAGTTATAGATCTTTGCTTTCCAGCCAGTCCCTCAGGAGAAGCAGGACAGGGGAGCAGATTAAGGCCATTTGTTAAGGGATGAAGACCCTGAGTAAACTAGAGGTACCTGCAGCATCAGTAAGGCCCCTTTTCTAGCTGGACATCTGCCACCTCAAAGTGAGGCTTGTATAGCAGAGGGTGAGCTGGGACTCAGGCCAGGCTGCTGCTGTGCCTATGTTAAATTACCCAATCCAGCTCTTATCTGTAGTTGCTAGAACCCAAGTGCCTTCCTGAGGTGAATAAAGAAAGGATCAGGTAGGTATCAGACTGTTTTTAGCCCTTTTTACTAAAGGCAATTTGCAACAAAGAGCGTATTCTTGCTTTTACACTGCTGTGAGGTGAGCAAAAACGGTGGGCTAAACAAAATCTCACATCTCAAGCCTGGTGCAAGGGTGCATGGCTATAGTCCTGACTACTCAGGAGGCTAAGGCAGGAGTTTCACTTGAGTTCCGGAGTTGGAGGCCAGCCTGGGCAACATAGCAAGACCCTATCTCCAAAAATAACACAAAACACAACAGCAACCAAAACAAACAAATAAACAAACAAACAGTCCTTGGGACATGGGTGTAGAGGTGTGGCTCAGTGGTAGAATGCTTGCCTAGCATGCCGGAGGCTCTGGCACGGATGAATGGAAGGAGAAGGGAAGGAGGGAAGAAAGGAAGGAGAAGAAGAAGACTTACAATGTGTTATGTGTATCTTCCAACTCCCCATGATGCATGCAGTCATCATGTTCTGCAAACAGACACTGATAAAAAAATAGAAATAGAAAGGTATAAAGAGAAAGCCAAGAAAAGAAAAATCGCTCACATCTCCTTTTTTTAAAAAAAGACAATTCACTGTACACATCTTATTTACAGTTTTGTACACTTTCTTAATATGTATGGGATCACTTTTCTACTGGAGCCATTTTTAATCGAAGCCAAATATCCTCAGAAATACAAAGTATTAAAATACAGCATAAAGATACAAAAACAGACATACTAATTCTAGTTAGTGCTCGCTTCGACAGTGCATATACTAAAATTGGAAGCATGGTATTACATATTTTTATGACCCACAATTATATCTAGGAATCACACAAGCATTGGTCGTTGATTTGAATGAAATGCATAAACCTGTAGCAAAGCATCTCATGTTTCTTCAACAAGAATATTCGTAACAACTCTACTCACTGTTCACAACTGCCAGAACCTAACCCTAAGCCAAGGCAACTCAAAGCAGGTGAACAAATAAGTAAACTGCAGCATAGCCTTGCAAGGGAAGAAATAGGGTTCTAAATATGTTAATGTTCTAAAAATATGTTACACTGAGCCTTACACGAAAGCATATACATCATATGCTTTAGAGGGCACTTTGAGAAGTTTCAGACTTTCTACCCTGTTGGACTTGATCACCACTTTCCCACTGCCGATAACTTGCTGGCTACACTGACTTTTTTTTTTTTTTTTTTTTTT